AGAGACAGGCCCCGCAGCGAGGAGGACAACGAGCTGAGCCTGCCCAGCCTGGCGGCCGCATACACCACCATCCTGCGCTCGCTGGGCGAGGACCCCGAGCGGCAGGGGCTGCTGAAGACGCCCTGGAGGGCGGCCACCGCCATGCAGTTCTTCACCAAGGGCTACCAGGAGACCATCTCGGGTAGGGAGCGGTCCCGTCCCCTCCCTCCCCGGGGCGGGCGGGCGGCTGTCACCCCGGGGAGGGCTCCGGGCCGGCGGCTGCTTTGCTACCAGCTTTCCGACTTTTATCTCTTAAAATGGGCTTCGCCATTGCCCTGCCACTGTACCGTCCCTCTGGGGCCGCTTGTCACTAAGTCATCAGCAGTATGCACTAGAAACACCCGCACCTTGGGGTTCCGTCCCCTCCTTCCCCCGACTTACGCTTTTAAACTCCATGCTGGTAAAGTTTGCAGTATGCACTAGAAACACCCGCACCTTGGGGTTCCGTCCCCTCCTTCCCCTGCTTTATGCTTTTAAACTCCATGCTGGTCAAGTTCACATTCTGTCATAAACTTCTGTGCTACAGGTTTTGGTGAGCAGAGCAAGATTTCTGTTTTCTGAGGTAAACTTTTCAAGCTCTGCTACATGAGCTTATTGATCGTACCTTCCTCCACCCCGAACTGAGCTGCGCTGTGTCCTGAAGGGGTGCGGACATCTGCCACTGTTGAAAAACATAGGGAGTTTGAATTTTCTCAGAAAAGATCTCGTTCTGCTGGCGCTTTTATCGGGTGAGGGTTTTTCAAAGGTGGGAATGCTACCTGGGGAAGTGAGGTAAGGAGAAAGAAGGAGGTCAGGGAGATCCCTTGCCTCCTCTGAGTCCCACCAGCAGTGCAGGTGTAGAGAGGTACTCCAGGTTTGCATCCCTGCCCCAGGTCAATGTCTTTTCTGCTCACTGACTGTGCCCCCCCCCCACCCCGAGGGCAGAAAGAGAGGAACTGGGTGGGATTTGTTCTCCTCACCAGTAACTCCAAAGTGGTCTCTTGGTTCCAGCGTAGGGTAAATCCTGCTTGAAAATTCAGTCTTTACATCCTTTTTTCCTCTCCTTAGCCTTTCCATTAAGGACTCCACTCAGTATAAACAGTAAAAAAGCACTTGGGCAGCTGAGGAATTCCCCCTTCTGGTCCCTCTTACAGTAAAAGGCAGTTTCCTGGTAGTTAGTGCATAAGGGATGCAAACACTGTCAGCAAGGACCTTTGAATGTGAATCAGGAAGGAGCTGAGCGTGTTCTGCTCTCTGGAGCACAGCCCTGGTGAGCTGAGCCTGCCCCAGAGCTGTATCAGGGTGCTGAGCATCAGGGAGCTTCCTGCCAGTACGTCAGAGTCCTTGTAAGTGCACTGTGCTTCGACTCAAAGGCTGGCTTTTGTATTTATTTTCATTTTCATTTCTCAGCTGCTGGGTCTTCTGAAATCAGATTGCGTGTGACTTCCAGCATTAACTTACTCACAGCCAGCTTATACTCATGTGCCACTGTTGTGTCCTCTTCCCCCAGGAGCAGCATTTCTGTCTTGGCATTTGTTTTGTCTTTCAGATCAAGCCAGGTTTTCAGGTTCACATCTGGAAGTAGGCTCTGGGCTGCAGTGGCCATCCTTATTCCTCTCTTCCTTTAGTCCTGCTGCACAGTGTGTTTGAGATGAGGTTTTATCAGGGCCTCACAGAATGATCCTTTGTCTACCGTGAATAACTTTCCTCATTTGGGGATTGTGTGTGTCTCTACTGCTGTAAAACATAGGAAGTTTCTTGGTCGTCCTGCCGGTGTCTAGCAGAAGGATTTTTTAAACTGATAGTTCCTGAGCATGAATTTCTGCACTGAACCTGGATGAGGTTGCTGACCACCTCAGGTCCTCTCTTATCTTGCTGCCAGTTTTGTGTGCAGTGTCATACACTCCCTTAAGTTTTAATAGCTTTTTTTCTGCTCTAATGTGGATTCTCTGGAATCTGAATAGTCTGTCCTAATCTCTCACATACATTTCTTTAAGCAGAGTAGTTCTGGATAGTTCCCTCCTCTGAATATCCCTACCTGGGAGAGAGCTGTATTATTTCCAGAAGTAGAAAGTGTCACTGCTAGGTGCTGTACTTTTGGACTGCTTTTTTCTTTCCTTCCTAGGAAATAAAATGACGCTGTGATACATTCCTTCCCGTGTCAGGTGAGGAATCCTTTTACTTTCCGGCTACTCACCTCTTCTTGCACAATGCCCAGCTTCCAGTCTTCCCACTCTTACCAGCCAAACAAAAGAAAGAGCTGTAGCTGGAAGACAACTCCACAGCAGTTAGCAAAATGGCAAGTGGATGAGGAGTTGGCTGGGAGAGTTGATATGGAAGTAAATTCCCCTTGGGAGGGTTTAAACGCGTCCTGAAATGCAGAGCCAACCACTAGTAAGTCTTTGGGAACAAGGCTGAGCTGTGGGACTGCAGCTCCTGCTGTTTGTCTCTGCTGCAGCATCCCAGTGTGCTGTTCACTTGGTTATACTAATGTAACTGTCTGCCTAGCCAGGCTGAGAATGAGACCAGGAACTGGCTTGTAAAACAAAAATACCCTCAAAAACCTGAACCCTGACAAAAAGCAGCTCCGTCTTCTTGTTTTCTAGGGTTTCTTTTGCAGCTTATTCAGCTCCTTATGTGGAACTGTCTGGATAGGCAGAGCTTAAAGCAGTGATTTGTGGGATGTGTGTTAAGGAGTGTGCAAGTTTACCCCCCAACGGGCTGAAGATAAGAGACATTTATAATAGCTGGAAGTACCATCTTTTCCTCAAAGGTTGCTCAAGTAAAAGCTCTGGTGGTTGTGCAAACACAGGGCTAGAAGCAAGATGTGTTGCTACAGGCACCTGTCTTTATCTGGCTCCAGCTGACTCGCAACCCTTGCCAGTATGCAGAGAAGTTGCCAGTCTGTACAGCCAGAAAAGAGTGACAACCCAAGGTAGTGACTGTTAGTACAGCTACAGCCTTTAAAATCAGCCCTCTGAGTTTGTCAGCTTGAGTATCTGCCTTAGGAGAAAAGCAGTTAATTTCTGATGGCATTTTAACTTTCCATATGGGGATGTAAAGACGATGCAATAGATTCTCAAATTCTGAGGTATAGTGAAGGCTTGAGGGTGTAAAGTTGCAGGTACAGTGCTGGAGGTCTTCGGTGTTCAACGTGCTTGACCGGAGCCTCGCTTGCTGTAGGTGAGCACATGGGGGTTATGTGGTGGGTCACAAAACTAAGCTACTTGAGTGCTGCCCGCTGTTCTCAGAGGTTAGGGATGTGAGGGTGCCTTGTTCTTACTTGTCACTGAACACTTCTGAGTTCAGCCAGGTTGCTGGAAGCTTGTGGGTTTGGGGAGGGATGGTGGCCTTACGTGTCCTGCAGCCCTCCAGCATCTGTGGTGGCATTGGAGGAGAAGGCCAAGTGGTGTGAGTGGGGAGTTTGGTTTGAGGAACCCCTAAAGCTTTTGGAAGCTGCTGAGCTGATGTGTGGTTTTAACAGAGTCACTGAATGGGTATGGTTTTTCTTTTTGAGCTTTGATTTGATACTTCACCCTTAAGAACAAACTCTTTTCTTGATCTTTTTGTTTACTGTGTGTATGAGGACATAATACATTTGGGGCATGGTTAAATGTGCTGGAGCTTTGATCTTTCCTGGGTGTTGCCACTTTGCTTCCATGATGCCTGATTATATTTGCATTTTTGAACTTCTATAGTTTAACTTTGTGGTGTTGTAGGGAAGATTACATCTGAATTCTGTCCCTTCTCTCCATTCAGATTTATGTGAGTAGCAGAGAAGCTGATTCTGCTTACCAGCTTCCCCTGTGTGTGTATTTCCTGGCTTGTTTTCGATAGTGCAGAGTAACAGTGTTCCTGCTTTACCCCTTATTCATCTTTGCTATCTGTGTTCTGCAGCTGCTCAGTATTGTACTTCAGAGCCATTAGTAGAGTTTACTTGCTCAATATATAAATCTGGCTCTTTCTGTTCTTTCTAGATTATGTTTTTTCTCTTATTAATCCTGACTTTACTAAAGGCCTCAACTTCTTTCTTTGACAAAATGTATTCAGATGTATTGATCTCACTTTCCTAGTACTATAGTCATCGGACTTCCACTGGAGTAGCAAGAATGTGACTGCAAATAAAATCCACTTGGGGACCAGATTAAGAAATGCTACGAGTTCACATTTGGGCATCTGTGTAGACCAACAGCCATTACAACAGAAACCTCTTAGTGTCTTGGTAAGGGTGGCAGAGCAGACAAGATACCAAAAGTTTTGCTTTTCAGTTTCATGCAGTGCTTCTGTGTGAACAACCAAGAACATGTTTTCTTTTCCAGGGTCAGATCTATCTGCTTCATACTTCTGGGAGTAAATTATATTACAAAGTAGTAACCAGTCCTCTTGGTTAATAAAGGTGAGCAGGACTGTTGATAGCCCGTTACCTTTATCTGTCTTATAGTTGGTTTAGGCAATTGCCTGCCACACAAAGACTGAACCTTAAGAGATCCGTCCCTCCTTTTACTAAAGGCTTAATGTCACGCTCAGAAGTGCTGTCTGTGAGTACGTATAAATACTACAAAGCATAAGTGTGTGCAAATGCAGTAATGAGTGAGTAAATAAAGTAACAAGGTTGCAGGCAGTACTAACTTGTAACTGAAGCCGAAGACTTCAGAATGGATCTTGCTAAGCAGAGCTAACTGGTAAGTTACAGAAACAGTGTTACAGTGTCAATGATGCTAGCTTGGAAAGGTAAATCATAAAGGAGTTGGTTCTGATTGTGTAATCCTGTAGGAAACATCAGGCACAGGGCTGAACAAGCTGCCTGCGTCCGCAGTAGGAAGTTAACTTGTTTTCATCATCCATAAACATTCTAAGCAAAACAACACGTTCATTAGCCAGTGTATTTGCTGGTCGTGGTGATAGTTGTTACATGAATAAAGGCTGGAAGACTTTTCTGGTAGGTATGTTAGTTTTCAAGCATGTTGGCAGGTTCAGCTGTCCTTTCAGCATGTTTAATAGGGAAATGAAAATCAGAAATACCAGGAGAGGATAACTTTGCTTCCTGAACCTCTGTGGTTTGAAATGCTGCCTGTATGCTTTATTTGCCTGAAAGCAAAGTGACTCTGCTGTGCAGCTTTTCTTTTAAAGCAAATAACTAAATAGTTAGGTCTCGTACAGTAG